TAACATTTTTCAATTATAAATGAAAGTCGATTTGCATAATAAAAAATCAAGATAATGTAAAAGAAAAATTACATGAGACTTCGTAGAGCCAACACATCACGAGATTATCTGATAGTCACCTGCTACCTTTAGCCAATCAAAATCGTAAAATTTGATCAATCCCAGATCAGTCCGAAAATCAAAACAAATGATTAAACTCAATTATTTCAAAATAAGTTAAATGTAAAAATGGGCTGTTTCTATTGTCTGCACCCCATATATTCTGTATCAAATAAAGAAAGCATTTTTCATTAAGAAAACTGATTACAAACCTCTCATTATAGTATTAAAAAAAATTGCACTAACAAATAAAACAAACTGAATTATCAAATATAAAACTCAAATTGCCAAGTGAACACAGTCTTCTTATTCTATTAAGCAAAAAATAGAGGTAATTAACTATGCGAAGCAATATGGAAGGAACCAGGCAACTAAAAAATTTAATATTGATAACAGTATGATTAGACGGTAGGTAAATGCAAGTACAAAATGGACTATTGAAATGAACAATAAAAGCAAGTGAATTGGTTTCGGAAGAAGAGCTTTTTACTCTGAAGCAAAAAAGTGCCTGTATATTTAGATTATTAAGCAAAGAAAACTAGCACTAGCTGTGACTTACACAACTATACAAAATAAAATGAAGAAAATTTTACAACAATCTACTATGATGCTTCTTTACAGTGATTCAACCAAAACTTTTAAAATATCATATCGTTAGACCATTGCATTCATGAAGAGAAACTGGCTAACATTGCAACAACATATAAACATTTCTCAAAAACTCTCTGAGCAAACTCAGATGTTGTTAGATAATTTTTACCAATGTGTTATTGGTCTTAGAAGTAAAAAGTTTTTTGAATTGGGCAACATTTTTAATATGGATAAGACTCTGATTTATTTTGATATAGCCAGTAATTTTACTATTAATCTAAAGGGAGAAAACAATTCAAATTCATACTACTGGTAATGAAAAAAATAGGTTTTCAGTTATTCTATTATATGCTGCAAGTATTTTATTTTTATTTTATTTATCTTTTAAAAAATTATTTACTGATATTATTGATTATTGATTCATTATTATAGATAGTACTAAGCTCCTCCCTATTTGTATCTTTAAAGAAAAATGATTGAATTGTAGTGAATATATCTCTCCTGATATTGTGGTTTAGTTCCAAAAAAATGGTTGGATGGATAGTAATCTAATGATAAAATATGTGGATTATCTTAACAATATACAATTGAAGAATGTGACTAAAAAAATCCTGCGATATTAATATATGATTTTTTCAAATGCTATTTAGAAGAATCTATTAAATGCAAGTTTTGTGAGTGTGATTTTGACCTAGCTGTAATTCTAACAGGTTTAACTAGTATTTGTTAACCACTTGACATTGCAATCAACAAACCATTCAAAGATAGTCTCCGTAAATAATGGCATATTTGGATGAGAAATGGTGGTGCTAGATATACTGTTAAGAGAAATCTTCATCATGCTAAAATAGATAATATGTGCATATAGGTTAAGTGTGCTTAAGATGGAATTTCTCATAAAATCATTATAGAATCGTTTAAAAAATGTAGGATTTCAAATGATTTAAATAAATTAAATTCTGATTTTGAAGTTATTGATTTTTGTGATGAAGACAATATTAATAATGATAATGATAATACTGCCAAAGAGAATGAATGTAAGAAACTCATTCATTATCAAAAGTTTGCTGAAATGAGAAATGCTGTTTAGTAAATAATTTTGGATACTTCTATCAAAATTGAATAGAAGTTGATAATCTTGATGTCAATAAAAATACCGATAAAGATGCTGATAAAGATGCCAATAAAGATGCCAATGAATATACTGATGAAGATGCTGATGAAGTTGCTAATGGTGACGATGATAGTAATAGTGATTATCATAATGATATTGTTGGCAATTATAATGATGGCATTGATAATTATAATATGGTAAGTTATATTATGAATGCTTTGATAATGTATATTAGCTTAAATAACAAATTATATTGACTATTTAGACAGAGTAATATGAATTTTACAAGACAAATAGGCTAATGCAATAAATAGAATAAACATCCAAGGCTGAGTTATATTTTACTTGTTATGCTTGTGGGATGATTATTTTTCAATTTTCATTTTGATTGTGTGTATTACAAATAAATTCGTATAGTTGTTTGTTTTATAAACCTTTTTTGTAAAGAAGGCATGATATCGAATAAAATATAATTTCCACAGTAATATAAGTATTAAGGTTTTAAAGAATAGCGGAAAAAGTTATAAACCTATTAATTATTAATTCATTTGTAATTGTAAAAAATTTGCTTATGTTTTGGCACTATATTTGTATAAAACAATGTCTCAAGCATTATTGCAAGACAATTTTTAGAAAGTTAAAATTATTATTTAGCTTTCTAAAAATTGTTTCAATAATATCCCAAAATTTTATTTTGTGGAAATCTTAGTATTATATTTAGCAGATACTTATTTTGAATATTATATTTAGGAGATACTTATTTTTGGGTACTATATTTAGAAGGTGCTTATTTTCAGATACAATATAAATTGAAGGGGTTGCTTATTTTCAGAGGAATACAGTAATATATTTTATTGAAATATATATAATAAATTCAAAAATTTAATAATATATTTACCAAATCTAACTATATTAATAATAAAATATTATTTTAAATACATATAATTATCTACTATTCTAATACTAATTTGGATAATTCTTAATATAATAAAATTATTGCAAGTACAATTATATTATTATATTAAAGCTTATAAGTAAAAATTTAATCTTACAAATATTATATTGTTTTGTTAGAGTAGTGACAGATATTACATAATATTCTGAGAGGGAGAGAGGTCTTTGATATCTTATGTTGATATATAAATTTATAATAGCCAATCAAATTTCTCTTATGTGAAGGGGAGGGGGGTAGGGTTATAGTAAAAAAATATTACATAATATCTGTCACTACTCTTACTAATTTTTCAAAATTGTAAAATAATTATAATAGCATCTATATAATTATTTTAAATAATAAATTTATAGTATATTATATAATATATATTTTCATATTAAATATTAATAAAAAATATATAATTAACCAATTATATTTTGTACATTATGCGTGCCATAGACACGGGTTATACACTAGTTCATGTAATGTAACGCATAATTATTTAATAAAAACCGAAGCCAGGCCTCACTCTTAAAACAAAAAAATAATAAATTTGATTTATTTGAATAAGATGCTTCTGAACACATATTTTTCGTTCCCTATAAGTTTTAACGAACAGAATGATACAAATAAGGATAACATGATTTTGGTGAGCTTATAATAGTTAAAACGAATATCAATAAAGACGATGATGACAATTTAGATAAGCAATAAACGGTCTTATTTTTATAATTTAAAATTTAACATTATTAGTTAACTGATTTATTGATATTTCAATAGGCATATACAAAAGAAAAGTAATTTATTTTAACATATGAAGTATTATTACTATTTAATTGGAGTCGGGTTATAGTATTCAAGTACATTAATTATTATATTTGCATTAATAATCACACGAAATATTGTAATCGAATGGTTAACGTGTTAAGTAAATAAAATAACATAGGCATATAATACATATAAAAAATCGCTAAATATAATTCGCGTTCTATATATATATATAGTTTGTTAATGAACGTAGGTATAAAATTTTATTTTAACCATTATATTAACTTTTTATAAGTTAAATTAATTGATTATATGTTTCGCACGACAGTAGTGGTTACGATTAATAACATAAAATTATGGTTATTTTGGCAGCCCAATTTTTCTAAATTTAAAAAGATCATTTTAGACACCCGAGGTTAGCACAGCGCAGAATCCTAAAACTATATAAATATATTTTTCAAAGAAATGCAGTATTTGTAAACGATTATATGTAACGATGAAGATTTCTAAAACTATCGTACGATACGTCATTCAAACCGCACAGTGGAATAACAAATATGTAACACGAAAAAGTACTCGATATTCCATTTTATATGGTTAAATTTTTTTTCTTTTTTGGTTTTATATAAATACGACATCCATTCAGAGAGAAGTGAAACGAAGCGGCTGATCAAAATCAAGAAAGCACAGCACGATACAACACGCGAGAGACACAAGGTCAAGAATGAGGATCCTAAAGTTCACAGCTATGCAAATAGGATAACTTTTAGCGTCGTACGATTTTGGAAGCACATAGTAAATGCCCAATAAAATCTTATGTAAAAATATAAAATTACGGCAAATGAAAAGTCACATAATATAGTTTCGACATGGCATGGTATAATGATATGTTGCAACAATACACATACATTTTACAACAAACCGTAATTTAAACCGAAAAGTTACAATGAGTCATAACTTAGTTACGTTCGGCTTATCCCGGTATTTAAAGTTTCTACCAAACACCAGTTGAGATAAAAAATAAATCAAAAAAATTTTTAAGATCCGGCTACTTTGTTGGTTCGGGAAATTTAATATTGGCTTTGAGATTTGCCGGGCACGATATGTTGTGCCTCAGATGCAGATCGTCAGGTGAAGTGCGTAACCTATCGGTTACCATCTAAGCTGCAATTTAACGAAAATAAGAGAATAAAATAAATTGAATAAAAGACTGTTTACTTGAATTCTTTTTATTTTTGGATTCTTGGATTTCTTCGGCGTTTTTTTCAATGGTAGCATTTTTTAAATCACTTTGGCGTCTTTCTTAACTCCAGTAGCATTCTATATCTTTGAATCACTTTGGCGTCGCCTTACCTCTAATAGCATTCTTAAATCTCTGGTATTTTGTCACCAAAACAGTAGCACAGTAGCATTCTTTTACATTAAATTTTTTCAGTACCTTTGTTCTTTCTTTGAATTTCTTTGTCTAAATTTTCACGGCACATTCTATCCAATTAATACGTACTTTTTTTCTCCCTATACTTATAGTTTTTTTTTTGCCTAAATTTTCGCGGCATATTCTTCCCGTCTAAGTTTTTCAGCACGTTCAATTTTCAATTATTTCTATACCGATACATACAGTAACACGATCTGATCTGAGGCATATCTGATATATATGATTTTTCCCCACTTTTTTTTTTTTTTTTTGGAGTGATTACCATTATAATTTTTAATTATAAAAATTTGTATATAAATATCAATAAAGAAACCAATGCAAAATCTCCGAAAAATATACTGTATATATATATGTCGTAGATGGGAATACGTAGAATTTAAGTTGATTCGGAATTTTTAAGGTTAGGGTTGGGATTTTAGTATAATTATTCCGTTTTAATCTAAGTGGATTCTCCCATTTCCATTTACCGTTACAACATATGTATTAAAAATCGGCTTTTGAGCCCAAATCAATGGAATGGATTTTGTGTAGTTTGTGTAACAATCCAAATTGCAATAGTGCAAATTTTTACTATGTATGCTTCAAGGTAAAAATGCTTGACGTGAAAATTCACATATCTGATATTATTAAACCCATAAAAAATAATTTATATATTCCCAGATCAAAACTTTTGGATCGATTTTCGTTTTATATAGAGTACCAGTCTTGAACATAAAAATTAAAAACTTGAAAATTTTTTTATTTATATAACGATTACAATTATAAAAAGCGATTATTTACATTTAATCTTGAAATTTGATTGGTTCTGCATAAATTTTATAAGTTACTTTTTTGCGTAAAGATAAAAGATAACAAAGATAACAAAGATAACGATAACGATAAGTAGATAATTATCGTAACACAACAGCGTGTATATTTCATTAGGGTACACAATATCGACATAATTATTATATAAATACGCGAGTCTAAATTTTTCTTTTTCTTTTGACGTCAATATGAGTCAAAAAAAAAAAGTCAATGTTATTGGTGCTGGAGTTATCGGTATTACTACTGCCTTAATTCTACAACGAAATGGATATCAAGTTCAAATTCTTGCAGAGCATTGGCCCGGGGATTCAGATATTAATTATACAAGTCCATGGGCGGGTGCCGCTTGGAAACCGAACTTTTATCTTAATAATGCAAAAAATGTGGATAGTAAGTAGAATGATGAAGTCGAGGTGTCGACATATTTATTGTAAGACATTATACTCGATAACATTTGCATTAAACTTTGAAATAAATATCTAAAATAATGACAATGTTTTATAGAATTCGAACGAATTTCGTTTGAGACATTCTGGGCCTTATTGCAAACACCTGATACTGGTTTAATGAGCGCAACAATATATGATTATATGGATAAAAAACCCGAATTGAATCGAGATGTTTGGTACAGAGAGTTTGTTCCAAAGGTATAATGCTTTTTAATAAAATTAATTTACCTTTTTTCCCATAAACTCAAATTATAATTTCCAATTTAGTTTCGCGTATTGCCTCCAAAAAAGCTTCCACCAGGTGTAGAATTTGGATTATCTTATACAACAAGTTAATAGTTTGAACGTTTTAGCCTGTTATATATACTACTTTCTACGTCTGATATGCGATTTCATTATGATATTAATAGTCACTATACACGGACCTAAATATATACGCTGGCTTCTTAAGCAATTTACGATTGCCGGCGGTACAACTAAAAAGGTCCATCTTTCTCATATCAATGAATCATTTGATGATGATGTTGATATTGTAGTAAATTGCACGGGAATTAACGCACGAACATTTGGTGGTGTTCAGGACGAAAGTGTGTTTCCTACGAGAGGTCAAACTGTCGTTGTGTGGGCACCACACATTAAAACATTATATTATCGATCAGGTATGTTTTATATTAAAAGTTCGTCATTGGTTTAATATATGTATTTACATCTATGCTTTTAAAGACTCCGATAATATGTCGTATGTCATCCCTCGAGAAGACGGGGAAGTGATTCTTGGAGGAACATTTGACGAAAATAATTTGTAAATTATCAATTCATAGATCTTAAATATATAATTTTATAAAATATAATATAACAATTTTTTTATGATTAGAAACGAAAAACCTGAGCCGAAAACCGCCGAATCAATTATTCAACGATGTGTAGAACTGTGTCCGGAATTAACATTAGGTGTAAGTACTCATGCCTTGAAAATAATAAGTCATAATGTTGGTCGACAACCGACTAGAATCGGTGGTATTAGACTTGAAATAGAAATAAGAAAAAATGATAAAGGCAAAAATATTATAGTTTGCCATAATTATGGACATCATTCATACGGTAATTGATTTTATTATTCTCTCCAACTGTATTTTTTTTTTGTTTTTTGATAGTTTATTAATGTAATGGTATGTATTAAAATATGTTATATTATGTTCAGGATATTCATCGAGTTGGGGCTCATGTTTAAAAGCTTTTGAACTTATCGAAACAGCTATAACAACTGAGCAAAGAAATGAGAGGTATTCCAAGTTATAATTTATTGAATAAAATAAAATTTTTTTTTCAAAAATGTAATAGATAATTTAGAAAAAGGACTTTGAATCTTTCTTTACAACAAAATTTTGAGGTT